GATCCCGTTGCCGGTCAGTATAAAAAAAAAAAAAAAAAGACAAAAAAAGATGACCGGTAAGGGGATCTTAACCCCTGACTTGGTGTTGTCAGCACCACGCTCTCCCAAGTGAGCAAACTGGCCATCCCTATATAGGGATCCGAACCTGTGGCCTTGGTGTTATCAGCACCACACTCTCCCAAGTGAGCACAGGCCGGCCTTAGCCAGTGCTTATTTATTTATTTGTTTTATTTATTTATTTATTTAAAAAGATGACCAACAAGGGGATCTCAACCCTTGACTTGGTGTCATCAGCACCACGCTCTCCCAAGTGAGCCAACCAGCCATGCCTATATAGGGATCCGAACCCTTGGCCTTGGTGTTATCATCACCACACTCTCCCAAGTGAGCCACGGGCCGGCCCTAGCCAGAGCCAGTGCTTATTCAGATTTCACCATCTATCTACCAGTTCTTTTGCTTATCTTTGCTTTTTTAATCCTCTCCTTTGAAGCTCAATTTCCATCTGTCTAATACTAATATCCTGCAGTATTTATTTCTACAACAATCTGTGCACAGTGAACCATCAAACTTGGACTGAAAATAGGTTTAATCACACTTGCTCTTGTGTAACTGCTCAGTCAGGCGCTTCCAGGCTGACAGCAGCTCCCCTGCAGGCCCATGACGTGGCTGCAAGCTGTGTCATCGCTTCACTGCTTGCTCTTTGGAAGGCGGTCTTTTCACTCGGCTGCATCTAAGAGTTTTTTCTTTTTGATTGTGATGTCCTGAAAATTTCTAATGATGTGTCCAGTTGTGGGTGTTTTGTGCACTTGGACTTGGACTTCTTGGAGTTTCATGTATTTGGAAAACTTTCAGTCTTCTTTCTTCAGTGCTGCCTCTCTCCATTCCTGCAGTGCTTTCCTTCTGAAACCTGTTCAGACATGTGCTGGAATCTGCTTAATCTCTGTGCCACAAACTCTCCTCCAGGTACTGACTCTTCAGTTATTGTGCTGCTTCGCTTGTCAACTATTTTAATGACCTTGTTTTTAATTTCTAGAAATTCTCTTTGGTTCTTTTTCAAATACAACTTGTCTGTTCATGGAATCTTGATATAGTCTCAGAGCTGCTTCCTCCTTTTACAGCTTTATCTGTTTTAAAGCACATTTGTTTTCTATTCTCTTTCAGATTTTGAAAATGAAAAGTCTTTCCCTTTTTTAAAATTGAAATTAAAAATTTACTCCTTTTGGGGCCGGCCTGTGGCTCACTCGGTAGAGTGCGGTGCTGATAGCACCAAGGCCACGGGTTCGGATCCCATATAGGGATGGCCGGTTCGCTCACTGTCTGAGCGTGGTGCTGACAACACCAAGTCAGGGGTTGAGATCCCCTTACCGGTCATCTTTAAAAAAAAAAAAAAAAAAAAAATTTACTCCTTTTAAAAGTTAATTAGAAGAAAACCTGTAATATGAGAATAAGTAAAATAATCTGGTTTCATCATCTAAAAAAAGTAATTAGCCTCTACTTTTAAATTAAAAAGTCAAATCAATCTCAGAACCTTGGATGTTGGCTGAAATAAGCTGACTGAGTGATTTGCCTGGAAAACCTTTAAGATTCATACAAGAGATAAGAGAAGCCCTTCTCTTAAGAAGCACGTGGTAAGCCAGCTGTTTTGCTAACCAGGTTAACTCTGTTCTAAGCGTTTTCCTTTAGAAGATACAATGCAGAAAACATATGGCTCCATTAGAAGACTCAACTTTTTTCACCCCGATTCAACTTTAATTCACTCACATTCACACACATTTCCTACGAAATACAGAATCATTCTCCTGTATTTTCAAACCAAGAAAAGTGTCTGATTTATCTCAGATGTACAACGGCTTAGATCCTGTGCCCTTGCTGGCTTCCCTGTCCCGGCACCCTGTCCTCATCAGCAGGCAGTGTCAGTCAAATCCCCTTGCACTCCCACCACTCAGAGCCCTTGAAGGGTTTCCCATTTGCTAAGAGCAAAAGCTGGTGTCCCTACGATGGCCTGGAAACCTCCCCCCTTCATTCTGTGGTCTCCTGTGCCTCTTTCGGGACTTCAGTACACTCAGATGAACACACTCACCAAAGGGTCTCTGCCCCAGACTCCCTCTGCCCAGAAGGTTCCCACCTTTATAAGTACCTTCCCCCCAGCAGCTTTCCTCCCACTCTGATCCTCCGTGTAAAGTCGCAATCCCACCCTACCCGGTGGCACTTCTGACCCTCTTACCATGCTCCATTTGCGATCCATAGCCCTCAACCCTCATGCAAACTATAAGTTTACTTATTTATTACGTTTATTGCTTATTGTATCTTCCACTCCCACTAGGATGTAAGCTTCACCAGAGCAGATAATGTTGTCTGTTGTTTTCACTGAACACTCAATAAATATTTGCTAAATGAATGACTGCTGGAGAAGGAAAACACAAAGGGAAACACAGCATATCACTGCCAGCAAAGGTTCAGAAATCTGCAAATCAGCCCTACTGGGGCAGGTCAAATAATATGTTAAACAGAGCTATTAATTACCTAAAGGAAAAGCTGTTTTATCCAAAAATGAATTTTTCAAAACGTTTCTTAACCGAGGAAGTGTTTAGCTCCCATTTTTATTTTATTTATTTATTTATTTATTCCCTTTTTGTCTTTTTTCGTGACCGGTAACGGGATCGCAACCCTCAGTGTCGCGCCCGTACCACGACCGGCAATGGGATCGCAACCCTCGGTGTCGCACCCGCACCACGCTCAACCAGTGAGCGGACCGGTCTCTATATGGAATCTGAACCCTCAGCGGGAGCGCCACCACGCTCCCAAGCGCTGCACTCTACCGAGTGCGCCACCGGGCCGGCCCCTTAGCTCCCATTTTTAAATTCTCACACTTAGATCTACTTGGAAAGGACTCTGGCTGTCCCAATGTCCTCAGCAAGGCCCAATACTAAGAGTTCCATAACAGTGGTCTTTCTCAGTCAAGAGGCTGCCCCGTAATTAAAACTTCTGCACCAAACACAGCTGAATAAATTGTGTAACTGAAATAGAAAGGAATAGACCAACTCTGGTAAAACCCTTTTTTCCAGTTTATATACAAATATCTATCAAATTGGGAACGTAGTCCAATGCCTCAGGTTTTGATTCTAAATCTGATGAGTATGCTGGGACTCTATGTACGTATGACCCGAGTCACTTCTCATCCGAGCAAATTTAAAAGAAAACGACTTACCTGTCCTGGGAGGATAACATTCTATAAGAGAACCCAGACACTTGGAAGTTGTCAAGTGTTAATGGCAACTCTTCCCTATAAAAAATCCTGAACCTATAATTATCACATTGCTGGTTTGTTCCCCTAAGTAAGATATTTGGGAAAATACTAGAAACTTTGTACTCTACTAACACATGGAATCAAAAAGTTTCAAAATAGCACAGCATTTAACTGAAGAGACAACATCCCTCTAAAATGCAATTTAGGCACAAATCCACCTTTCTCTCAGTCTCACCAACTTTCGCTCTGTTCTAGGAGATCGTGATCTGTCTCTCAACTACTGAAGGTTGGATTTCTCCTCTGGAACAACTCCACTGCCTGTTTTAGTCCCCACCACCCAGGACCACCCAGGGGGTGTGCCCATTAAGGAGCCTTTTCAGAAGGGCAACAGCTTCCAAGTTCTAATTTCCAAAGTCCTAGGGCTTAGTTTAAAATAATACTGTAAGTACTAAAATTAAATAAGGGATCCAAACGTAGACGCTACGCTAAAGATTTGCGTAAGTGTGTGTTTTGTCTTAGCACTGTCTTCTCTGAATGTGACAAAAACACATACAAAATTTCAAGTACAACACATCTAAAACGAGCTCGCTTTTAAGGCCTTTAAAGTCTTTCTAACTAGTTTCTTAATATCCTACATCACCATCTAAACATCACGGAGACTGTAAGGCTCCTCTTAAAGTGAGCGGGGGGTGGGAGGTGTCCTAAAATCTAGCAGCAACATAAGGAAATGGTAGAGGAAACAATGTCACAGCAGGGAACAACATAAAAGCCTTTCAATACCGCTAGGAAAGAGCCTGCGAAGTGGAAAGACTCAAAAGAGGTCAAGGTGGCAGCCGGTGGCTAGGAGCTGCGCGGTCTGCATAATTTATAACCGGAACGGAGCCGTCCCGGGTGCCCAGCGTCTGTGAGTGCCGCCGCCTTCCTGCGGTCACAAGTCGGCCTGTGCCTTCTGGAGCTCCTCTAAACGTGGCCCTTGCAAATCCTTCATTAAAAGGCAAAAAACCAAACGAGGCGACAACGTGTAGCGTAGCTGACATCCTGCCTCCAAGCGGAGGACGAAGTGAAGGGAGGAAAACCCCGCGGCCCCAGCCGCCCGAGCCGCCCGGCCACGGCCCACTCACTGTTGTACTGCACCCCTTTGGCGAAGCGCCTCTGCAGCGCCTGGTTCATGGACTGCAGCCCGGCGGGGATGCTCTTGTCCCGGCCCGGGGCCTGCTCCGACCCCACCAGCTTCTTGAGGGCGGAAAACATCTTCCCGCTCGGACGGCCGAGCCCCGGCGCGGCCGGCGAGCTCAGCGGCGGCGGCGGCGCGGCGCGC